TAAACACACACACACACACACACACACACACACACACACTTACCGGACAGCATGATTCTTCACCAGCCTTTCAACCTGGTTAATCCCAGCAGTAGACTGTAAACCTCTAGATCTAGATCTAAACGATCAGTCAACGAAATTCAACAGTCACCGCTTTTCTCACTCAATACAGCTTGAGACATATAGTCTATCCTTAAATAAAGTATAATGTGTATACTGATAGTGATTACGAGTCCAGCCTATTCTGAACAAGCTACGAGCAAGTATGACAGGCGAATATTTTGTCACGGATGATTGTTCCAGTTTTTTACCACCTTGGCCTGCGGTGCACGCGTTTGATCCTGAACCCGTCCCACTTTCGTAATCGAATCTTTTAAGTAATGCCGTAGTACTCTTTGCTTGCAGTAGTAGGGTATCGAAACTGGTAAATGATCATTCGCATCTCTGAGTCTGAGTATTGTTGTTATAATATTAATTGTTTGAGTGAAGAGGAGCGCATCGACACAGGAATGGTCATTAGATGTCGGAGGAAAAGTTAGAAGGACAGACAGTTAAAAAAACAAATTATGGAAGTTAGCAATGGCGCCCTCCAACCACCTGCCTGAGCATTGCATGTGTGTATGATTATTATTATATTTGAAGAACAATATAGCCTACAGATGAGTTACCCCTGCTCGCCACTGAAAGGGAAGTGGGAATAGGACGTCAAGCAGTATACTGTATCTTATGTTGCATATCAATAATTAAAATGCAATATAAACCAGTGAGGGATGAGATAATGAGATAAATCGAACAATTGAGTGAAACAATTAAAAACTCATTCTCTTGAGAAAATATACTGCGGTAATTTCCTTAATCACAAATTCTTCTTTCACAAAGCTCGTGTGTTGTAGTTTTAGTATAAATCTCTTTTTCTCTGTTTTTACAGCGCTCGCAAAACGTCACCAAAGATCGTGTACAATCTTTGCATAGCTAATGCAGCGTTTGACACCTAATTTGCACACCCTCGCGGCTTCAGACATAGACTGAGCAACCCCCCACCCCCACCCCAACTTCCATACACAAACATTCTTTTTTGTCCCCTCGGCTCTCTGTGTGGATGCAGCTGCAGTAGATTCCCCTATTAAGAGCACTTCATTCCACTATTGCCTCATTTAGCCATATCGATACCGACGAGTTCGTGATCAGCTTCTCCGACTAGATCTGGTTACCTATTTTTGAAACGGGGCCGAATTCAGGATCTCCATTCACCATTCGCGTCCCCGTTATCGTCCCACTTTCGTCAGCCACGATTTGTAGGACGAAAGCGGGTTATCCCTACGCTGTTGTGTGAAAACGAAGAGAACCGTTGCCCATTGGCACGATCGGTTCTGTTCGATTTGGTAGCGGGCTCGAATCGGGCGATCGGTTTGTTGACCCCCCTATGGGCACTGGCATGGTATAAGTATAAGAGGATGGGGAGATTTTTGGTCCTACTTTTAGGAACGTATCGGTCTCTTTATTGAGTTTGTGTGTTTGTTGT